AAGGAGTCCGCTTAAGCTGTACCTTGATTAGAAGTCTTTATTCATTATCACAAGCTTACAGCATAAGTTTACAGACTCGCGAGGTCTGGAGAGCAGTGTCCTCCAATTCTAATGGCTGCTCTGCCCTTTCATCGTTTAACCCCTATTTATAAACAATGCAAAAAGATGGGTGGCTCCCTCTTCTGGCCAATCACCAGTCTCCCCTGGGACGTCACCCTCCAAACGCTACATTTGAAATAAGATCATAAACATTCCCTCTTCTGTTCCTCTAAAACAGTCATAATGTTAATACACCACACTGTCTGTAAACAATTGTTGGAAAAATTACTTGTGTCATGCACAAAGTAGATGTCCTAACCGACTTGCCAAAACTATAGTTTGTTAACAAGAAATTTGTGGAGTAGTTGAAAAACGAGTTTTAATGACTCCAACCTAAGTGTATGTAAACTTCCGACTTCAACTGTATGTCATGTTATTCATTCTGTTTATGCTGTACCAGAGATCAATTGGCATATGTTTGTTAATATTTACACTATATATACAAAAGTATGTGGACACGCCTTCAAATTAGTGGATTCGGCTATTTCAGCCTAACCTGTTGCTGACAGGTGTATAACAATTGAGCACACAGCCATAGACAAACACTGGCAGTAGTATGGCCTTACTGAAGAGCTCAGTGACTTTTAACGTGGCACCGACATAGGATGCCACCGTTCCAAAACGTCAGTCTGTCATGTTTTTGCCCCGCTAGAGCTGCCCCAGTCAACTGTAAGTGCTGTTATTGTGAAGTGGAAACGTCTAGGAGCAACAATGGCTCAGCCGCAAAGTGGTAGGCCACACAATCTCACAGAACGGGACCGGCAAGTGCTGAAGCACGTAGCTCGTAAAATCATCTGTCCTCAGTTTCAACACTCACTACCGAGTTCCAAACTACCCCTGGAAGCAATGTCAGCACAATAACTGTTCGTTGGGAGCTTCATGAAATGGGTTTCCATGGCCGAACAACCTCACACAAGCTTAAGATCACCATGCGCAATGCCAAGTGTGGAGTGATGTAAAGCTCGCAGCCATTGGACTATGGAGCAGTGGAAACACGTTCTCTGGCAGTCTGAACGACGAATCTGAGTTTGGCGGATGGCAGGAGAACGCTACCTGCCCCAATGCATAGTGCCAACTGTAAAGCTTGGTGGAGCAGGAATAATGGTATGGGGCTGTTTTTCATGGTTCGGGCTAGGACCCTTAGTTCCAGTGAAGGGAAATCTTAACGCTACAGCATACAATGACAATCTAGACGATTATGTACTTCCAACTTTGTGGCAACAGTTTGGGGAAGCCCCTTTCCTTTTTCAGCATGACAATGCCCCTGTGCACAAAGTTAGGTCCATACAGAAATGGTTTGTCAAGATCGGTGTGGTAGAACTTGACTGGCCTGCACAGAACCCTAACCTCAACCTCATCGAACACCTTTGGGATGAATTGGAACACTGACTGCGAGCCAGGCCTAACCTGGCACCGACGAAAACTTAGGAAACTTTGCAGTATATCGTTTTTTTATGTATTATTTTTTACATTATTAGCTCAGAAAGTTTTTTGCATCATTACATACAGCCCGGAAAAAATATTGGATATCAGAGCGGCGGTAACTCACCAGCATTACGACCAGGAATACGACTTTCCCAAAGCAGATCCTTTGTTTGCTCTCCCCAGGGCAACTGAACTGATTCCAGCGGCTGACCCAAAACATCGCCGGTGGAGGAGAGACACTCGGAGCGGCCTGCTGGTCCGACTTAGGAGGCGCGCGCACCACCCACCGCTTCCCCTCCTGTACTCCCTGTTTACCCATGACTGCGTGGCCAAGCACGCCTCCAACTCAATCATCAAGTTTGCAGACGACACAACAGTAGTAGGCTTGATTACCAACAATGATGAGACCGCCTACAGGGAGGAGGTGAGGGCTCTGGGAGTGTGGTGCCAGGAAAATAACCTCTCACTCAACATCAACAAAACAAAGGAGATGATCGTGGACTTCAGGAAATAGCAGAGGGTGCACCCCCCCCCTATCCACATCGACGGGACTGTAGTGGAGAAGGTGGAAAGCTTCAAGTTCCTTGGCGTACATATCACCGACAAACTGAAATGGTCCACCCACGCAGACAGTGTGGTGAAGAAGGCGCAACAGAGCCTCTTCAACCTCAGGAGGCTGAAGAAATTTGGGTTATCACCTAAAACCCTCACAAACGTTTACAGATGCACAATTGAGAGCATCCTGTCAGGCTGTATCACTGCCTGGTACGGCAACTGCACCGCCCAAAACTGCAGGGCTCTCCAGAGGGTGGTGCGGTCTACAAATACTTATTTCCCTCATTAAAATGCAAATCAATTCATAAAATTTTTGACATGCGTTTTTCTGGATTTTTTTGTTGTTATTCTGTCTCTCACTGTTCAAATAAACCTACCATTAAAATTATAGACTGATCATATCTTTGTCAGTGGGAAAACGTACAAAATCAGCAGGGGATCAAATACTTTTTTCCCTCAATGTATATGTTGTGTAATTGTTAGATATTACTGCACTGTCGGAGCTAGAAGCACAAGCATTTCGCTACACCCGCTATAACATCTGCATAGTGTATGATTTAATACTGTACACTCAGCTCCATTTTAAGAGAACCACTCCCAAAACACAATGAAGACACAAACAACACTAACAACAAAAACGTCTGTAACAAACGGTAAACCAAACAACGTCCATATTGGTCCTCTGACTAACAATAAGACTCAGTGGGGGGCGAGCGTCCTTGACCCTGCTCCTTTAAAAAGCTCCTGGCAGACACACAGCAGCACAGACAGTTGGCAGAGTGACCGCTGTGCCCTGTGCCAAGGTCACTGCTGGAGTGTGGGTCATGTAGTGTATATAGAAAGGCCCATAAATAGACCAGGCTTAACTGATACAATTCAAAAAAGGAATGAAGCACTGAAATGAATTTGATCTGATCTGAAACATTTGAATTATGTCCAAATATGAATTTAAGCCCTAAAACTGATTTAATGATTTTCCTAATGCTAATTTGGTTCGACACCAATGCACATGGCTAGCTGTAGGTTATCTGCTGTGCTGTAGAAACCCTCCTAAATCTACCTTGATGAGGCATCTAGCCACCACCTCCATTCACGGCCATTCGTCCCACGTCATTCAGAGTGAAACAGATAGGGCTAATCCGGCCATTGTTGACACAAACCAGGGAAGAGGATGAATTATATATCATTGACTCAGAAGAAATTATCTCTTGTTCCTCCTGTCTCCCGTTGGCCCGGGGCCAAGCTGAGCTCAGCACAACCCCCCCAACGCTAAAAAGACGTCTAGCTGCCTCCCAGGAGACACTAACGGGGGGGGGGGGGGGGGGGGGGGGGGGGGGGGGGGGGGGGTATTAGGGACGTATCTCCCCTAAGACGACTTATGGGACAACAGCACTTCATTGAAGCAGCGTGTGAAAGCCATAGTGGTTGCAAAGAAGCCCTCCCTCCAGGGTTGTGGTTGGAGATATACTGCAGTGATTATATAGACTTGAGATGGGTTGAACTGGCAGACTAGGTATTGTTCTAATAACCTCATGGATTCTTTGTTTTGTGGGCATGGCATATCAACATGAGGGAGGAGGGGGTCTGGAGGTGCATGACCCATTTCCCCTCCAATCAGATGCCAGTTTAATGAAGGGCTCTCGTTAGGCATATCTTAGACTACAGATATTATGATAATGCATTATAGAGGATGGATCCCTGCTGTTTGGCAGCCAGGTCGCTAGCTTTGATTAAGGTGGATCGGACACGTGTGTGCATGCGTGCGAGTAACATGTTACATGATCAAAGTCAATGCCCAGGTTGATTTGAGCTGTTGTACAGACCAACTTGCCAATCAGCCTATAGCAGAGCTTCTAACTGTGGATTGGCTTAGCTCCAGCTTATCATAACAGAGTGACATGTAGCTATAAATAAATGATGAATATATTACATCACGTCATTTGCCTAATGGAGAAATAGTAATTGATTCTATTTTTGGGATCTGCTGTGCTGACCTGATGGAAATCTCTAGAAGATAACCCAGTTTGGAGATTGGCAGTTAGCTGCCCACACATTGGCTGTATGTATGTATCAGTGGTGTAAAGTCCTTAAGTAAAAATACTTTAAAGTAGTACTTAAGTAGTTTTTTGGGGTATCTGTACTTTACTTTACTATTTATATTTTTGACAACTTTTACTTCTACTCCACTACATTCCTACAGAAAATAGCATACTTTGTACTCCATACATTTTCCCTGAGACCCAAAAGTACTTGTTACATTTCGAATGCTTAGTAGGACAGGAAAATGGTCCAATTCACGCACTTATCAAGAGAACATCCCCGGTCATCCCTACTGCCTCTGATCTGGTGGACTCACTAAACGCAAATGCTTTGTTGGTAAATTATGTCTGAGAGTTGGAGTGTGCCCCTGGCTATCTGTACATTTTAAAACAAAAAAAACATACTGTCTGGTTTGCTTAATATAAGAGTTATACTTTCACTTTTACTTTGGATACTTAGGTATATTTTAGCAATTACATTTACTTTTGATACTTAAGTATATTTAAAACCAAATATTTTTAGACTTTTACTCAAGTAGTATTTTACTGGGTGACTTTCACTTTTACTTGAGTCATTTTCTATTAAGGTATCTTTACTTTTACTCAAGTATGATAATTGGGTACTTTTTCCACCACTGGTGTGTATGTGTGTAGGTGTGTATGTGTGTAAGTGTGTGTGTATGTGTGTGTGTGTGTGTGTGTGTGTGTGTGTGTGTGTGTGTGTGTGTGTGTGTGTGTGTGGGAGGATATGGGTGTGTGTCTGTGTGTGTCCCAACCCCACCCTATCTCTTCTCCCCATCACAGTGAGGATGTGGTCTGGACGCGGCTTTTCTTTGTGTGTGTGTATTATCCTGACCATGTCCCTCTCTCCCTATCACAGTGAACAGTGAGGATGTGGTCTCGACGCGGCTGTACTTTGTAAACGCCTCCCTGCAGCGGGTGACCTTCTCCAGCTCGGTTGGGGTGTCCCTGCCCTGCCCCGCGGGCGGCGCACCCCATGCCGTCCTGCGCTGGTACCTGGCCACCGGCGATGACATCTACGACGTGCCCCACATCCGCCACGTGCACGCCAATGGCACCCTCCAGCTCTACCCTTTCTCGCCCTCCGCCTTCAACAGCTACATCCATGACAATGACTACTTCTGCACCGCAGAGAACCAGGCCGGCAAGATCCGCAGCCCCAGCATCCGCGTCAAAGCAGGTCAGACTCAGACTGAACACAGGCAGCCTCTTCTGGAGCAGCCTTAGACAGACAGACATAGAGACACAGCTTCACCTGTCGAACCTAACTAAACAGTGTTCTGGGGCCAAACAGAAACACAACGTCTTCACAAAGAATGAGAGGAGGCTAAGCATAGCGAAAGGCTGCCAGGAAGAGGTTTAGAAACAAAAAGAAAATGCATATCGATAAAGAAATCAAATACTTTCTCATACGATTTGATGCTGTACACTCAGCTCCATTCTAAGAGAACCACTCCCCAAACACAATGAAGACACACAAACAACACTAACAACAAAAACATCTGTAAGAACGGTAAACCAAACGATGTCCATATTGGTCCTCTGACTAACAATACGACTCAGTGGGGGGCGAGCGTGACCCTTGACCCTGCTCCTTTAAAATGACCCTGGCAGACACACACACAGCGGTAAAGACAGTTGGCAGAGAGACCACTGTGCCCTGTACCAAGGTCACTGCTGGAGTGTGGGGCTGGCCACACTGCAATGGGGGAGTTCACACACACGCAGGCAAGGATGCACACACACACACACACACGCACACACACAGACACACACACACACGCAGGCAAGGATGCACACACACACACACACACACACACACACACACACACACACACACACACACACACACACACACACACACACACACACCAGCCTGTGCCCTGCTTATGCCAGCAGGCCTCCTGTCTCCCAGTCTCTCCATCTGTCCATGGACTGGAAAGTCCCCCAACTACACACACACACACACACACACCATTTTATTCAAGCTGGCTCTTCTGGGTAGCTGTGCCAGGTCTTTGTCAGGGTGTTTGCTGTAGCTGGAAAGGGAATGAGTTTAAACATGAGAGGGATTGAACAGAGTTGAACAGCGAGAATAAATATTGTTGGTGTTTTAATTCACGTTCAGCGACATATTCAATCAACAATCTGCATCTGGAAAATCGGAAACAACCCCCTTAAAAGATGTGTAAGATAATCGGAACAACCCCCTTAAAAGATGTGTAAGATAATCGGAACAACCCCCTTAAAAGATGTGTAAGATAATCGGAACAACCCCCTTAAAAGATGTGTAAGATAATCGGAACAACCCCCTTAAAAGATGTGTAAGATAATCGGAACAACCCCCTTAAAAGATGTGTAAGATCAAAGAAAAAATAATCCAGTAGCGATTCAGTTGTTAACAGTCAGTTTACCAAATTCATGGCCAAATTAAGATGGTTACAGCCTACCCCTCCTCCCTCCCCCCACCACACCCCTTATGGCATTTCTGTCCAGAGGACCCTCATCCCATCAGCTGTAGAGTGACCTTCCAACCTGCATCTGTGTGGGGACGACCTTCCCCCCAAAATAATTACCCCAATTAATCAATTAAATGCTGAGTCTGTGAAAATCCACCAACCCTCACACCCAACTCTGCAGCCCCTCAACTCCAGCCCTCAGGACTCGCCTGTGTATTGCCCCACTACTGCCACACACCTTCGCAGAACGCACACACACACACACACACATTCACATACACACACCGCGATTACCATGAGCGACAGGCAGGGCGTGAGTGGCAGGGTGTGGCGCGTCCCGTCTCAGGTGGCGTCGGAGACTGATGATAGCTGACAGTTCGCAGTGTGACACCCTCCCTCCCTTCATCTCTCCATCTCTCAATTCTCCCTCCCTCCCTCCCTCCCTCCCTCCCATGCATGCTGATTCTGTGCCAATAATAGCACTGGTACCTGTGTGGATCGCTGTACGTTTATGGAAATCCCTGCTTGTTTTCTGTTTAATGTTTTTCTCTCCCTCCGTATTATCAAAGTCCTGACCCTATATTTCTTGTTAAAGCCATTCTCTCAATTACTTTCATCATCGGCATTTGACGGACATTCTGTAAATCACTAGCCAGTGCTCTAATGATATTGAAGACGTTTCCATTGGCTCTCATAGGAGGCCTTCCCATCCATCTCTAGTCATGTATCACATCTCTGCTTTCCATCTTCCTTTCCTTCGTTGTCAACATTTGTTCCTCTTCTGCTTTCCACCCTACTCCCCTCCTCTTGTCCTCTCCTTACCCCATTAACAGTGAATAGACACACTGTGAATAACATGACAAAATGTCAAAACTAGGTTTAGCCATCATATGTGTGTGACAGTTGACATTGATAAGTGTCATTAACCAGGTTTCCATCCAACCTTTTTATGACAGGTCTGATGGAAACAGCAAATGTCGACAGCAAATGTCAACAAAGCAAAATACGCTAGACAAGGTGGGATCTTTTTGTGTTGGTAAAATTAATTGTGCTAGAAATGGCGATGGAAATGCTTTTATGTGCAAATATTGATATAATAACAATGATATTGAAGTAAACTTGGAGTCACGCGATGACATGTTGTGTGGTTCTCCCACTACGACTCAGGAAAGTATGCAGTTTATTAGGCTACAGATGAAATAAGTTATGATGAACGTGGTGAATGTGCAAGGTGATTAGGTTGATGCTCCTTTCCAATAAATATCGAGGGTCTTATTCTGGTGACATGATGATCAATGCTTGGCTGCCTTTTGACAAATTAAAATAATCTCGCTCTTTTGTCTATAATAATCTCATCATGTAGGTTATACCCGCACTGTATCTACGAGTTGCTGGCTAGAGCACATGTGCCAATACCAGAGTGGGCACATTCACTATATAACGCAGTTTTCTTTTGTGACAAAACCATCAGTAGAGATGAAAATTCAATGGAAACCTATTTAAACATCTAAAAGTCTAAGCCTTTGAACCCTGTATGTATAAAAAAAAGAATACAAATAAAATATTTAATAAAATGTTGAATTTGGCCTTTACTACTAAAGCCCATAGAAACGCATTGAATAACACATTCAAAAATGGCAAAAAAGACAGTACATTTGTTTATCATAAGGAATATGTTTTTGAAGTGTCTGTTCTACATCTAGGAGATATAAGAAATCTCAGGATATATTGTCTTTTTTTGGACACATATTTAACCCTTTTTTGTTGGCACAAAACTACCTCCATACTTCCATTCTTTTGTACGGGTTATCTTCAGACGAGTCACGTGACACATGTGGGGGTCATAGAGCAAAACGGAGTACACCATCGTGTCCGTGAGAGTCTCCCCTTTCCTTAGTGGGGTCATATTAGTAGCCTAAATCTCTGGTGGAATAATTTGCATATTTTATTCATGCAGATTTTATAATATTCGCATGAAAATCTATCGGCAATTGGATGGAAATCTCGCTATTGGATGTGATGCTCTACTAAGTAGATATTGGACCTAGACTGAGTTTCTGACCTCGTCTCAAAACTCTTGAGACCTAGCTTATCCTTCCACCTATCAGTGGCCATCAGCGGTGAGAGACAAGAAAATGCAAGCCATTCCACTGTGGAGACAAAGACCAAAAAGTAAAGTCATTCAACAGAGTTGGGACGTAGCCACTGCGGTAGAGCAGTCAGTCATTTTGCTTGCCTGCATGCCTGCCTGCCTGCCTGCCTGCCTGCCTGCCTGCCTGCCTGCCTGCCTGCCTGCCTGCCTGCAGTTTGGAGCCTATTTTTATTCAAGCCCTGGTAATGAGGACTTCCTGCCTGTGTGCTCATTGAGATCATGTGATGATGGAGCGCCTCTCATTTGGGCTCTGGCTGCCTGCTCAGCGCTCCTCACACCTGTCAAATGCCTGCTGTCCTCTCCCACACACACACATGCATGCACACAGTACGCACAGATGCACACACACAGGGGAGACTTTACTGGAGGACTTTTTATATATTTTTGCCTGACAGTCTGAGTAACCGTCAATGTCTGGTTTCTCAACATTGGACCAGAGAGTCTATACTCCATAAAAACAAGAAATACATACATAATGCAAGAAATACATACATACATACATACAAAAAATACTAAATTAGCCATTCCATTCTGATAGTCTCTGTGACCTTTGCCAAGGTCACATGACTATTTCAGGGGGATATAGAGTAGTGTAACCAATGCTAGGCGTATGGCTATATCTTATGTCCTATGCCTTTGTCACACAGAGCTAGAGTTACACACACAGGTGAGATCTAGAGTGAACTGGGATCAGCTGTTCAGTGAGCTCACCTCAGCTCCCCTTTCTACCAACACAAACCCACAGAGTTTAGACTGAGAACAGTGGACTGGGAGAGCAGGTCCACTGCTGCCCTGTACTCTCCCGGCCTGGCCACCCTCCTTTTTATCTCTGGCTTTATAGGTCTTCTGCCACAGATGGTCCTGATAGCAAGCTGTTGTTTATTCCCATTCATTAATGTGTACAATCCAGTACAGCCATTCAGTTGCCCCTTTATTTGATTATTTTCTGCTCTCTCTTTGCTGCTCGCTTTATGAATAAGTAAATAGTGTATTTGGTTTCCCTGTAGTTAATTATTTAGGCAGCTGTGATACAGGCCTCTCCTCCCAGTGCACGGAGAGCGTCAGACCCGTGTTTTAGCCCGTTCCTAGGCAACCGGGTGCATATAGTCAGGCATCAGTAACATCCTAATGACGGCGCGCATGTGAGGGGAGTGCAATTCATGCATAAAACACTGGGCTACCATTTTCATGCACTTGCAAGGGCTTAATTAAACAAATGTGGCATATTCTGCACGTCTCGCCTCAAAACTGGAACATGTGTAATATCATAACGCTACCACAATTGTTATTCTACTTCTGGTTTAAGCCTTTATCGAGTATGTCAGTGCAAAGAATCAGGTGATGTTTCCTGTCAGTTGTTTTGGCTTTAAACAGTCTCATAGAGGCTCAATGCTCATAGGGCAATTTTCTCTGCGTGATGAGACGCAGGGTCAATCAAGGAGTAAATAAATGATTGAAAGTATTGGCTTGGCTGTGAAAGGAGCTACTTAATCGATTCAGCCCATTGATCCAGAGATGGTCTGCTGTGATAAGAAACGGGGGCATTTAAATGAGGAATTGGAATGAAGATCTGATTGGAATTATTTGGCCTTTCCTCGATTTGTTACAAATGAGGCTTCACAACACATTAGGCCACTGAGTGGCCAAATAGGTATAGGACTTGGCTACGGTTGCTCAAAGCACGTCTCGTGGTTACATTACGTTTGGCCACACACCATAACGTTAAGGTTAACGACTTCACTATTCTGACAAGGACATTGGCTCTGGTTTCAGTGGGTGACACTGTCGGCTGGCATTAAGCATTATTAATGACCAAGGAAATTCACCTCCAGGCTAGGCGTTAGTTATATCGCTAGAGAACTTGGAGAGAGAGAGCCCAGGCAGGCAGGGTGTGTGTGTGTGTGAGTACATGCGCGCGTACGTGTGTGTACGTGTGTGTGTTGTCGACTTCACGTGGTTAAACCATTACTCCCCTGATTGGCATGAGAGAAGCCTCATAGAATTAGCTGTGATTAGATTGCAGTGCCACAGAGTCCCCTCCCCATGTTGTTTTCCAGCTGATTTTGGTCTACATTGTAATCCCGTTTGTATCGACATGTTTGAAATGACAAACGCCCATGTATTTGTCTTGTGTTAGTCTAGCTAATACATTTGGATTACACTGTTATTATGATTGAAATAAAATTACATTTCATTCACACCAGCTCTGCTATCGTCTTGTAATGTTGCAGTATAGGCCAACTTCAATCCAATCCACACTGATACCCTTAGTGTTGCCATTTTCTCATGTGTCTATATATATCTGTGCGATGTCCAGGGTACTGCGTGCCAAGTGCAGAGGGCACCCCTTTTTGTGACTGCCCACACCCAGCCATTCTGCGCCGCCTCTTAGAATTGCATGGGTTTTTCTTTAAAAGGGTAGTCGCCATTCACACCAGCTCCTTCTCAATGCAACTGGGTGTCACTTCTTTCTACAATCCGTTTCTCCTTTGCATTGCAGGACTAAAGTGAAAACAACATTGACTTGATGTTGTTTAACAGTCCACCAACCAAGTTTACATGTGGGCTACTCATAATGTCTCTCAGTGAATTATAGTCCAGGAACAATGTCAGCTCTTGTATATCAGAAAAAAGAGGTCCTTGTTTTCATTGAATAATAATCTAGGTTACAGGTTAGGCCATATCTTGCTCATGGCTTGTATGATAAGCAACCTTAACTTTAACCGGAAGGCTTGTGTTAGCTTTCCAAACTAATGCCTTGGCTTTAGCTCAGCTAACTAACACAGTTTGGTGAAGAATAGCCAGGTTTTTTCCCCTCTAACCACCCCTCTCCTCTCTCTTCTCTCCAGTGTTCAGGGAGCCCTATACGGTGCGGGTGGCAGACCAGCGGTCCATGCGGGGCAACGTGGCCGTGTTCAAGTGCCTCATCCCCACGGCCGTGCAGGAGTACGTCAGCGTGGTGTCCTGGGAGAAAGACACTGTCTCCATCGTGCCAGGTAGGAGCATCTCAGATTTAGACCTGAAT